CCCCCCCCCCCCCCCGCTTCCACGCCTTCCCAGCTCTCGGACGGCTTCCACCGCTCTCTGGGGCGGATAATTGCCCTCCGCTCGCTTGTTCTCCCTTGTTTAAAGTTTGTTTTCTAAATGTCTTCTATTAGATTATGCTCGTTCATTCCCCCTCCAACCTTATCTCCTTCTGTCTCTTCTCTCCTTGCCCGTCACACTCGATTTAGGCACGAGTTTATCTGGCAAACAGTTTGCAGACTTTGTTTATTTACCGCGGGTTCTGGGCCTGCGAGCGCGCGAGCGCCGGTGTTTGCCTTTGTAACAGTTATCTCCTCATTGTTGTTCCTCGTTAGTCTCCGCTCCCGCCTCCCTCTCTCTCTTCTTCGGTTGGGGGGATGGAGGGAAGAAAAGGGGAGCCTTGTCAGCCCAGTGTGGGCCTGGCCCCTCGCCGGGAGCCCCCTCCTCCAGGAGGTTCCCAGCTCCGCAAGCCCCTCTCCGCTCGCCCCATCCCCCATCCAGCCCCCGGCCGGGTGAGCCCCTCCCGCGCCCCCTCCCTCTCTCCCCCTGGTCGCACTGGATATCCTCCGCCGAGCGCTGCCTAAAGCCGGGAATTGCCTGACACCCTCCCATCTTCCTCCGAGCCCCCATTATGCGAAGCTGATCCCACTCTGAACAGCTTCAAATCCCGCCTGGACTCTGTTTGATTAGATTGCCAACCCGGGGTAATCCTTTGATTTGGTGGAGTGTCAATTACCTTTCTCTAAACACACATTTACAGAGGAGGGAACTTGTTGGTTTAAATCAATGCAGATTGTTTCGTGATAAATGGACTATCTTCCTCCCCTCCCTCGCCCCCTTTTCCGAGGCTCCTGTCCCTCTCCGCCCCCGCCCCTTCTCGGTTCTCGAAGATCCCATAAACAATGTCTCTTCCAGGTGTGAAGCCGAAAAAATGGTGCGGGCTGAGGGGAGCCATGCCCCCCTTCCCCTATTCACTGGCTCCCCCGGAGCCTAATTAAATTTGGCAGGTCCTTGTACACACAATCAAAACAGCTTCCTCCAGTGTAGCAAACGACCGAAAACCGCATTAGCAGCTATCGCCGCTGCCAAATTAAATTGTTTCCCACCTCCTTTTACAAGTGTCTAAAACCGACACTCCGGGCTCTCCCCTCCTTTCCGATCCTTCCCCGTCATTTCCCACTCCACACCTGTAAGTTCCCTGCCTTAAAAATAAATAAAGGAAAAATGCAAAGAGAAACACATCTGCCTCACACACCCTCCTCGCCAACCCTCTCCCCAGCTCGGACCATCTTTCACACCCAGGAAGTCTGCGAATTCTCCAGCTGGACTTCAACACCTCCAGGATTCCCCCCCACCCCACCCCCACGCAAAGAAAAAGGCTGCCTCCACTACTACTACTTCTTTTTTTTCTGATCTTGTAACTTTCCCCTGTATTTCATATTAATTGTAGCCTCCTTGGTCTTTCCATCTTAGATACCAAAGTGGAGCCCCTGGTCCCATTTGGTCAGCTTTGGCTTAAACTGGTGCACTGTTAGATGCGTGGGGCTTTTGTGTTCTTATTGTTTGTCACTGCTATCATTGTTGTTTATATTATTGCTTATTTCTTGACACTCACTCCCTCAGCTCCCACTGAGGAATGGTTTGACCCATTGCAAGCCCCAATCATATTCCCCACAAGAATCTCTCTGAGCTCAGATTCTGTGAAAATCTTTTCCTTGCTCTTCCCTCCTCAGATCCCCTCCCTGTTGGGTCCCTGGCCTGTCTCTCCCCTGACCCTTGGAGAAAGGGGTGAAGAGGAGGGAGTCTACGTGCATGGAGGTAAGGAACTGTCCACTTCCCTCTGCAGGTGAGCTGAGCTTGGCTGGGGCAGGCACCTATCGGCAGCGGTCTGAGAATGCTCATAACCAACAATCCTAATAAGTCAGTCTTAACAAGGAAAAGAAAAAAAAAAAAAAAAAAAAAAAAAAAACGAACAGCCTCATGAATATCAGCCCAAGGGGAGCAGGAGTGAGCTGTTCAGAGATGAAAGTGCACAGAAATAAAAGCTCAATTTAATCTGCTTTAAAACCCTTCAACTTAACGTTTGTGCTTCAAACTCTGAGAGTGAGAACTGATTGCGGATAAATAGTTTCTTACCATGCCTGGAAGCTATTACACCCCTCTCCAACACAGTTTTCTATTCAGCAGTCCCAGTTTTCATTACCAGCTCTAATAAGTCTTAACATTATTAAATGCCAAGCGGACGATAGGAAAAAACGGACTCAGGGAGGGATCTCTCTTTAGTGCTTAAAGAGGAGAGCTCTTAAACCCCTTCTTTGGCGGCTCCCTGCCATGAGAGGGGCAACTCCCCCAGAGAAAGCATTTTTTAAAAGCAAGAAGCCAAAAACAAAGTTGTGGGTCTGCGCAACTCCCCCATCTCTGCCCATGAGGCATCTCTGCCTCTCCCTACCTGGAAGACTCGGGTGGAGGTTGGAAGGTCTTGTCACCTTTAACTTGGCCATGAAACTGATGTCTGGGGCCTGGGAGAGAAATGAGGGGTTCACAGGAGGGCCTGCTGACCTGCCCAGGAACTCAAATAGGAAACAGATACAATTTGCTCACAGATGGCTAGATAGCCCTCTTTCATCTGCACCATCATATTGTTCATTCACACTCATCTAAACGCCCCCAGCATTCAGATCCAAAGGCCCGTGGGTGAACAGTCACACCAAGAGATGCTTACGCTTACACTGCCGTCCAGTGCACAATCACCGCACCCAGCGCACCCACCGTCATGCAAAGACTGCAGGACTTCCTGGACACCAGGCTCACTGCATGAGATCATTTCATTTCTTCAGCTCCTCTAGACTCAGCACCTGTGAACTCAGCCTCCCCCATCTGGCACAGGCTTCTCTTTAAACCCTTGGAGATGCGGTGCTTCCTGGTTCTGCTGCAGGGAAAACCTCTCTCCAGCGAAGTGGCTTGTTAGCTGGTGTGATGAGCAAAGGAATCCTCCAAACTGCACCGTCTTTCCATCCTCTTCCTTCCCTTCTTCCCTTCCCTTCCCTTCCCTTCTTCCCTTCCCTTCCCTTCCCTTTTTTCTCAGAGGAAATTTACCTATTTGTGCTTCCTCACAAATTGAACTGGATACACTCCCTGTGTGCAAACATATCTAAAGTTTCTCCAAAGAAAAGCAAACTCGTCTCCTTCTCTCTGGGATAACTCTCAGAAGAGCTGTCTTTTGTGCAGGGGAGATTATTTGTCCAGAAAAGATTATTCAAGTTCTATGTACCCCTCCCCCTTTCTCAGCCCACAAAAAGTCCATCTAGTCTCCTTCCAATAGGAACTGAAATAAGGGCTGGGTCCCCCAGCAGGTGTCCCAGGGCTCTGGGCAGATCGGCCAGGCCTCTGACCGCTTGGCGGTGCCGGGCTGCCTCCCACTGCAGACCCGAGGCCCCGCAGCAGGCCCGGCACAGCGGGGCGCCGGGTACAGCTCGCTCGGTCCCTTTCTTCCTTCGCCCTTTTGTCCCGGGCGGGACAGCGGCAGCACTAGGGGCCCTGCGTGTCAATAGCCGCCCCTTCCCTTCGCTCCGGGCCGCTCTCACAAGGGACCGCCCGGCCCCCGATCCTTCCTCCTCGGACCAGGCCTGTGGGGGCTGGGCGAAGATAAGAGTTGTCTTAGTAGGCGGGCTTTGTCTGTGAAGTTCATCTTCAAGGTTGGGAGGGTCTTCTGAGAACTGGAGAGAGACCTGGGCTGGGAGTGCTTGGGACGCGAGGAGAGGGGTGCTGGGAGAAACCTCTGGAGGGAAGAGACTGGAACCACACAGGCTCTTTGTAAGCTTTCAGGTTCTGGAGCACTCGCCACTTTTTCCAAAGCCATGGATCTGCAGGTTCCCATGGCCACTGTCTTTCCGATTGCCTCAGCTTGCCCCCTCCTCGCGCGAGTGTTTGGGGCCTTTTCTTTTAACTGTCAGTCTTTGTGACTCTGGGTCTTCCATTTCTATTTCTCTCCCGGTCGCCCCTTAACGTGCACTTACCAAGTCTCAAAGAGAACTAGGAGGAGAACTAAGAAGGCGATGAGGAAGGGGAGAGGGTAGTGAGGAAGAACTTTCCCTTCCTTCTCTCGAAACTTCCTCGCGTCAAGAAACAAAAGCACAATTCTCTTCCCCGGGCTTGCGGGCGCTAGATAACTAAACGCCTTCCTTAGCTGATCCGGAGATAAAGCGTGGCGCTGGGCTCAGACTCCAGCCTGCCCGCGGAAGCCGCGCTAAGAATGGGGAAAGGGTGTGTGCAGCCTCAATCTCTCCCCCAGTGGGATCCTCCGACCCTGGGCAGCTGGGAACTTGGCCTCCACTCCCAGCCCCGCCGGCGCACGCCAAAGTGGAAGGCACCCTCTGTCCCCCAGTCCGCCCTGGCAACGCGGGGCTGAGTCAGGCGGCGGCCCTGGCTAATTTTTATTGATTGCAGCGGTCAGTCAACTGTCAGGCGGGGTTTCAAGGGACCGTTTAGAGAGCGTGTGCGGGTCTGGTTAACAAATTCGTTTAGGGAGCCTCGGGCCGGCTCCTCCTTCCTCACTCCTCCACCCCGCACCCCCTCCCCCGGCCTCCGTGCCCAAGTTTCCTATAAATAATTGATCAACGCCGGGAGTAGCAGCCAAAACAGCAGTCCGGGAGGACACACGTTCCGCAGTACTAGGGTAAAACCGGCGCGCACGGCGGTGGCACGGTTCGCGGCGCGCGTCGCACTGCGCACGGCCCCGCAGCCGGGCTCTCTCGGCACCGGCAGTCCGCGCCCCGTCTCTGTCGCGCAAAGAAGGCGCCGGCTCCGCATCCAGCCCGCATCCGGGGTGCGCACCCAAGGGGCGCTGTCGGCAAAACCTGAGCGGTTGCCGGCTGCCTCGCAGCCTGAGAGTTCTCCCGCTGGAGTTCTAGTCTCCTGCTCCGGCGGCGCGAGCGAACCTCCGGCCCGCACACCTGAATGTGGGAAAACCCAGGCTGGGGCCTCGAAACCCCGGAATCCCCTACCTTTATCGCCCAAGATGCCGTCGATGCTGTGTTTGGCCTTCTTCTCGCCGTCGTCCTCCTTCTTGTCTGCCTCATCCTCCTCCTCTTTCTTCCCGAACTTGATTCTGAGCACGCGGCTAATCGAACTCACTAAACCTCAGAAATTCAAAGGCAAAAGAGCGAGTATAAGTTGTTGGGGCAGAGGAGCGAGCGGTGGCCTGGGCCCCTGGGAGAAAGTCAGGAAGCCCCTGCTTCCTTACAGATATCCATTCATCCCTCTTCCACACGGACACTCACTTGGGGAAGCCTGGTTCACACCCGGGGCACTCACAGGGTGGTTAGACTGTGCATTCCTATGCAGATGCTTGCACACAGTTGTGCCTTATACTATCACCTGCCCTAGGTGCACTTCCACCCACACCCCTGAGAGATCCCAGAACCTCCCTGGAGTCTCTCCAGCCCCTGCTGCCACCCCCACACTTAGGTGTGCATCCTGGCCCTACATGCCTGAATGCACGCGCACACACACACACACACACGTCACTTTCTCTCTCACAGGCCGTATGGTTTGGGACCTCCAAATTTGGGACCCAAATGGCTGGTGGTGGCAACAGACCAGACATGATGACTCTGGACAGCGGTCCTGGGAAGCCAGTGGGCATCCACCCTCTTAGGACAGACCCATCTATTAAAGCCACTTCTCCAGGAAAGCTCCAGTGGGGCTCTTATCATCCAACTTTCTAGGTTAACTTTTCGCCTATTCCTGCCTGCCCACCTACCTTTCTTCCTCCTCCCTTTCACTCTTCCTTCTCTCCCCTCTCTTTCTTAACCTTTTTTCTTTCCCTCTTCTTTTCTTTCCATCTTATTACATTCTGTTTTGATTTACTCCTCTGTCTTAACTCTCTTTGCCTTTCTGATCTCCTTTCCTCCCAACTTCTCAGTAAGTTCCCTGTCAACCATCACCTCCCCTCCTCTCTCTCCTACCTCCAGCCCTCCACATCAGAGCCCTAGCCACACTCCCGGCCAGGTCTGCTGGCTCAGCTGCCTTCTCACCTGAGGGCACAGTGCTTCGGTCACAGTGCCCGTCCTTCAGCAGCCGGTCCCGGATCTCCCAGCTGAACATGCCTGGGTTTTCCCGCTTGTACTCCTCGATCTTTTTCTCCACATCCGGAGTCGCCACCTGCTTCAGAGGTGGAGGTGGGAGAGCAGGAGTGGAAAGATGGGGTGGGGGGAGGGAAAAACTTTTAATATCACCTCTTAAGAGCCCCAAACCAGGCTGGTGGTTCTGGTTACCAAGTGTCCCCCTACCCTCCAAGAGATTGGCTTTATCCTTTCAAGAAACTGGTTCCTGGATCCCAGAAAGGCAGCTGGGGGCCTGGCAGGGTGGCAGGGGGTGGGGGTGAGACAGGGATAGGCAATAAAAAACTCTAATTAGGAGCCCCAGGCTCCCCCTCATTATCTCAGGGAAGACTGAGAGAAGATGTCTTCTGGTCATGTTGGGTGATGGGGATTGGATGGGGATTGAGGCAAATTGTGCAAATGTGGGGACAGCCCAGGAATGGCTCATTGGCCTCAATGTCTAGGGCAACCTCACTTAGCCCCATCGCTAAGAAATTCAAATAATAGGAAAACAATGGGAGGATATCTGGGAACAGGAGACGCCCTCCAGCTGTACTCTCCTACAACCTAGTGCCACTGGGTGACACAAGGTAGTAAGAGGGGCCACAATCAGGATCCCCCGAACATGGGAGGCCAGCTGCCAGCCTCTGTGGCAAAGACACTCACTCTGGGCTTGCTGCCGCCGATGGCCCCAGGCCGGATGGACCCGGTCTCCTGGTAGCGGCAGAGAATCTTGGAGACGCAGCCGTGGGAGACGCGCAGCTGGCGGGAGATGACACAGGGCCGGATGCCATGGTGGGCCATCTCCACTATCTTGTGGCGGATGTGGTTAGGCAGCGGTCGCCCGTTGATGAAGACCCCTCCCAGCTGATTGACCCGACCTTGGCCAAGTGGGGTGGACACTGGAGAAGGGAGAGGAGATGCAGGAGAGAGGCCCAGGGTGAGGATGGAGGGCAGACACTGAGTGCACTCCCTGACTCCAGTTTTGTCCGTTTGAGCCCCAAGGCCCCAGGCAGCGATCCTGGTGGTCCTCATACTGGGGCTTCGGTAGGTAGGTAGTTGGAGAAACAACTGCCATAAATCTAGGAAATCTGCAGAGATGGATAGAGGAGTCACAGCTGCAAGAGTCTCCCCAGATGCTGTGTCGCCCAAGTCCTGCCACACTATGAGGGGCGAGGACGCAGCGGGGGATTTGAATGCTGCTAAGAAGCAGAGGGAGACAGGTGAGACAGCAGAGCTACAAGGCTGGTAGAGCCTTAGAGATCTTGGGTCCAATGACTCTCTGTCCCTCAGGCTGAAGCTTGGGCTGCAGGCCTGCCTGCGTCTCGGAGAGGCCAATAACTGGTGTGATGGTGGCTCATCTGGTCAGCTCCACACTGCGGATAGTCACGAATGATCCCATTTTGTTGGGGGCTGGAAAGGGCTGTTTGATTACTACATTTACAGTTCTGGCTGGAGCAGCGGAACTGTCCCAGGAAACAGCTGAGACAGCCGAGGGACTGGTGACCTATGCTGTTGGCTGCTGCCTCTGAGGGTACCTGTCTGTCCCTTGGGTGACTCCCCTTGCTTCTAACCACCCTCGAAGTCCTAATTTCGTTTTGGGACAATTTTAGGACCCACTGCACTGCCCCATAGCTCCTAAATAAAATAGTTCAATTGGCCACACAAATACATACACCGTCCCTGCAGGCTCTGTGAGGCTGGTAGGCGGATGGGCCACAGTCCCCAGGTGGGGGTGACTTAGGGAGCCGGGAAGACAGACATCCCTGTTGTGTGTTGGGGAGGGGAGAACGCCCTGGTCGCCTTAATGCAGAGTCTACACAATTTCCTCACAGAAGGTTGGGGAGACACCCAGCGCACTAATCCAGCCTCGATCCCCCCAATTTGGGGACTCAGCGGCTGCGGAGATCTGGAAGATTAGAACGATTTCACAGCCGCAGGAGTGGAGGGAGCCGACTTGTAATTGAAAGGGAGGAGGCGAGAAGAGGCTCCGCTGCTGGGCCGTTCCTACCGCCCCCTCCCTCGCTCTCCCGGTCCCCCCACCTCTCTTTGTAAAAGTAGGTGTCTGAAGCCACCCTCGGATTTAATCAGAAATCGTGCGTCGCAAAGTCAGAGTCACTCGGTCTCCGTGGCGGGATATGCCATTAGCGCTCAAGAGCTCTTGAGCGCCCAACTTTATATTCAAGAGCCTCTTTAGCGACCGGCACTCGGCTCTCCTCAGTATTCTGCGTCATGTTGGGCAAATATTGTTCTAATCCGCCGCGCGTCCTCAGCCGCCTGTTTTACTTGCATTCGCTACAGGAGAGTGGCCCTGCAAATCCCCGGGTTTGCGCGCTCTCCCGCCTGCGTGGCTGCCTGTGCGCACTTGATCACGGAGCGGCTCTCTTCGCCTCTGTCTAATTCAGAGACCCGGCGCCGTCTCGCTGCCCAAGGGAGCTCCTCCCGGATCGCAGGCTGCCAGCCCGCCCACCCCCTCCCTGCCTTCTCTCCCCTTCCTCACGCGCCAGGGACTCTAACGATTACAAGAAGAGTAATTAAAAAAAAGAAGTCGCACATATTTTCTAACGACTCCTCTGTGACACCCTAGGCTACCTACCCCCAGAAGCCAAATGATCCGTCAGTGACAGGTTGAGGCCTTCCATTAGTTTAAAAATAAAACAGAACAAAAACACAGGAGCGGGTCTCTGCTGTGCGCTCCCAGCCTTTTCTCTAGCCGGGGACCCAGTTCGCCGCCGCCCTTTCTCTCCGCTCTCCCCGGGCGGGCGCTGGAGGTTTTGGAAGGACGCGTTAAAAAATCGACTCCTTTCCCTCGTTTGGACATTGCCGTGCCGCTCTCGCAGTTTAGAGGTTCTCCAAACCTCGCCGTTTGGAAGTTCTTTCCCGGGAGATTTCCAGAGCGCGCAAGCCCGAATAAAAAGTTTTAGGGGGAAAATCGTTGCTAATTATTATTTCCAATTAGTTTGCTTCCAGACAGAAAAGCGGGAGTGATCGAATGTGGCTTTGGCAGAAAGGGGTAGCCTTGGTGGTTGAGGTACATAAAGTATCACCCATGGTAGGTGGTTCTAAATAAAAGGTACTGGGAAGACCAATTCCTAGGGTGGAAAAAATAATTCAAAACAAGAGTAGAAAGCCGGCAGCCAGCGAGCCCGGAGAGCAGAGAAACTGTCAGGGAAGAAGTGTGTGGAAATAGTGGAAAGAGCTGAAATTCGCCACGACCTGAAATTTACTAGGAGTCCAAATCTACCAGAAGTTCAGCCCTGCGGGTTAAGGCCAGCAGCTCGCGACCTGTGAAGCGAAGGCCGCCGGTCAGTGAAACGCACGCAGAAGCGGACAAGAATGGGTCCCAGAAACTTCCTGGGTTCCGCGCCCGCACTGGGACACAGAAGAGAACAGGATCCCTCTGCTACCGCCGGCGCCGCCACCATCCTCTGGAGACCGCAGCCTCTCCTAGGACCCCGAGTTTCGGGCGGCGGAGTCGCAGCGAGGACAGCCTGGCGCTCTTACCTTCCAAAGGGAATCCCGTGCGGGGGTAGTTCTGCCCCGGAGCTGGCCGCATCATTCTCGGTACGGTGCCGGGAAGGGCCGCCATTCTTGCGCACGCCGGGGACGAATCCAAAGTCCGCAAAAATCGCTTCCCGTCCGCTCCCTTCACCCCTGCTGCGATCTCTTTCTTTCCGTCTTCTTCGTCTTCTTTTTTTTTAACCTCTTCTCCCTCCCCTCTGCATACACTCCCTACCCCCACCCCCCACCCCTGGCTGCAGTCAAACGCGTCCAGAAGCTGGGGAGGGGGGTGAGGTAGGGGGCGGAGGTTGGGGGGAGGGAAGGTGGCGACGACAAGGAAGTTCAAACAAACAAACACTCCAGCCCCAAGTCTGCCTCTGCCGGCTGGGCTCTGCCAGAAGTTGTGCGGGCTGAAGGGCCCGGCAAAACCAGGAGGCGAAGCCCGGCAGCGGAGGGGGGACGGGGGGACGCGGCCGGAATCGGGGCGGCCAGCCTCGGAGTGGCGAGCGCCGCGCTCTCGCGCTCGGGGCCAAAGTTTCCAAGCCAGGAGGCTGCGGAGTGGATTTCGTTCTCGTATTTATTTATATATTTATTCTCTCGCTCTCGCTCCCTCCCTCTTCTCCACGCCTTCTTTCTCCGGACCACACTCGCTTCTCCCTGCACACCAGCTTTCACACCCCCGCCCCCTAGGAGACCCGGGGACGGACGGAAGAAGGAGCCTTCTCGGGTTTCGTGGCTAGAGGGGGCGACCCGGGGTGACGGGGTTGGGGGAAGAGAAATGGAAAAGCGAGGGGGCGCGAGTGATCAGCTGGGTAAGTTGTGCAAAAGTGTTCACAGAAGTGCGAGGAAGGGGAGGAGGAGGAGGAGGAAGAGGAGGAGGAGGAGGAGGAGGAGGAGGCGGCGGCAGCGGCGGCAGTGAACGCGATCTGATAGGTTCGGACTTTTCTTTTATTCATGAGGAGGGAAGGGGGCCAGGGCGCAAGGGAGCAGAGGACCAATAACGAAAAGAAATCGCCAACGAATATTTTTTTCCCTCGTTTCTAATTCCCGGCTCGACCTCGTTTTGGGGGAGAATTTGAACCGCCGTGAAAACAGGGGGAGACGATCCCGGCGAGCTGGGGACTGGGGGAGAAGGGGAGGGGGCCAACTTTGTCCCAGTGCCTTCCTTTGATGAATGGGCCGGATCCGCCGAGTCCCCGGCCCCCAGGTCGCCCACGGCCGCTCTCGGCGTCCCGGCTCTATGGGAATGTCTGCCTCCGGCCCGGAGCCTCCCTGGAGTCTCGCCTTTTCTCTGGCCTCCCAGGGGCAGAGTCCGCTGTATTTCTCGTTCTCTCCCTCGTCTTACACCCTCTGAAATTCCTCCAGTGAGGCTCCCCGGGAACCGGCCTGGGGTGACTTGAAGGGAGAAATTCTGACTTTTTCTGTGTGACAATGTCAGAGCCCCGGTGTCCTGTTCTTACTCTCTCTCCCCGCCGCTCGGAGAAGCCCCCAGTAACCGTATCTGGTTCCGAGGCTTGGAAAAGTGGGTTTGCCAAGTGTTAGGGACCGGGCTCTTTCTCCCCTTCCAGCCCCACCCCGTGCAGACACCTCCAGCCGCCGTCGCCCTTCTCCTCAGTCCCCTAGGCCGGGCCCAGAACTCCTTTCCAGCAGGTAGTTGGGTTTACAGGGAGGTGTTGCTGGTGTGAGGACCTGGGGGTCCAAAAAGGTGGGAGTTGGGAGGGAGGGAGCAGGTCAAGACTTCTGAGCTCATCAGCTCGGAGCTCCGTTCTGGTAGGTTTGGGGGGACATCCTAATTAAATGATCGGGAATTTGGGTGGGGTGATCAGAGGTTCCCGAATTCTTTACTCTCTGAAGCCAGGATGACCAGTAGCCCCAACCTCCGGACACTGAGTCCTGGGGGCGAAACGCCCTCCCAGCGGGGCAGGACGCCACAACTGCAGGCCTTTTGTCTCCTGGGGGAAAGAGTGTCTCTGGCCCCACGCTGGAAGCAAAATACAATAAAACGAACCCAGCCCTCAAACTTGCCCCCTGCCCGCCCTCTCCAGGCAGGGCAGTGGGGTCAGCCTTGTCTTAGCCTGGGGGCCCACCGCTGGCTGGCCCTAGGGCGTCCCCATCCCTCCCCTTCGCCTCACCTGTGACCTTTGCCCCTCTCAGCCTGTGACAGATCTCCCTCCTCTCCCCACTGTCCTAACACAAGGGGCTCATCAGATTTTTGGGGGGACTTCTGGGAATGGGGGCCCTGCTGAAAAACTTGTTAAACTCACACTATCTCTGATTGAGAAGGGAGATATCAAGTAGCTTTAGAATTGGAAGGGGGACACCAGGGTGGTTTGCCTGGCCCAAATTATGGGGCCCTTCCCCAGGAGAGATTGGGAGATCAAGCTTTAAGCCTTAGCATGTGTGCCCAGGGAAGATGGCAACCCCCTTACATCACCAGCCTTGCTGGGGACCTGGCCTGCTCTGACCTCCATAGGTGGGTGTATATTCTTTATGTGTGTATTTATATATGTATTTGTATGATATGCTCGTATGCACACACACGTAACACACATGCATATATATTAGGTATATTGCATATTCATCCATTCATTCATCACTATTTGTCCTCTTTGCCTGGAAATCTTCCAGGCACTTTTTCCATGTGTTTGTGAAATGGGCCAGGGTGCTTGTGTGTGAGGATAGGCCTGTGCCCGGGTCTGTGTGTAAAGATGCAGGTGGGTTTTGTGTGTAGGTCTGTTTGGGGTCAGTTTGAGTAAGTCTGTGTTTCTAAGTGAGGGTCCATGTCTGTATTTCTGCTTTGAGGTCACCTCCATGCTGCCTTGGTATGGCTGTAAGCACGGGTCAGGAATGTGTGAGTGTGTGTTTAGGTCAATTCCAGAGTGAGAAAAACCTCCAGTGCGTGCCTAGGGTGGGAGGCTCTGTCTGTCCTGGCTGGTGCTCTCAAAGCATCTTGAGCCGAGTGGTGAGTGAACAGCTGGACACCTCTGCAGCCAGGGACCCTCAGAGCCTCAGGAGTCCTGCACTGGGGCCACCTCATCCACAGTGTGGTCCCTCACCCTCCCCGCAAAAGACTCACAGAAAGGTGGGTCCAGTCCTGACACCTCCAGCGTTTCTGCAGCTTGGGGATTCTGTGGGCCCCTGCAGGGGGAAGGGTTGTGGGGGGGTTGTCTATTAGAAGGACGTGGCCGTTCTTGCCTGTTGGAGACCAATTTCACAAATGATTTTTGCAACAATTAAGGAGTGTGGCGGGGTGAAATGGCGATTTCACATCCAGCAGGGGAAAGGAGGGTTCACCTGGGAACTGTGGCTGGGGGTTGGGGAGAGCAGCTTCCCCTCATCTTGTTTCCCTTTGTGTACCCCCTAAAAAAAGTCACCCCCATGCAGACTTCATCAAGTCCCAAGACCTCCAGTTGCTGCTGGGAGGCTGTGAGGGGCTTCTGATTGTATGGGCTGGGCTGGACTCATTCCAGAAAGTTTCCCTTTAGCCCTTGATCCCTCTTTCTGTCCCTCTCTGTCCTCACCCTCTTTCACCCTCTTTCTCTCTCACTCACACACTTCTCCTGTCTGCCCCTCCGTCCCCCTCAGTCTATCTTATGGTCTCCTCCATCTGTTTTGTTCTTTTGGGTTTTCTCTCTTCCTCCTTGCCTTTCTGGCCTCCCAGTGGCTTTTCTCTGGGACTGTGTGTCTTGTCACCGCCCCCCACATCTCCATGGTTTCCTGAGGCATGTATGGACCTCCACTGCTCTCGGCTGTAACTCAGACCTGAATCCCTGGGAAGAGCCTCTGGTCCAGATGAGGTTGGCTAAAGACCTTGGGGAAGGGAGCCTCCTTCTCTGCTTGGTCTGGATGTGCATCTCCGGGCCCAGCCCAGCCCCCTAGTACCCCGGGAATCATTCCCATCCCAGTGTGGTCTGGCTTGGATGGTTGTCTCCAGCTCCAGCTCACCCGTCTGAAATCTCTGCATTTCTCCTTTTCCCTTTCCTTAAGGGCAGCAACAATGCTAACAGGAATTCTTCCCGAATTCCCAAGTGGCATCTTCCAAATCCAACTGAAATGGGACGGAAATAAGTAGGTCCAAGATACAGAAGCAAGACCCCAGGTTGAGTTCAGCTGGGGAAACTTGGCCTGTCTCTGGCTGCTCCCTCCCAAGACAGGCCACAAAGGGGCTCCCTCCTCCCTGCACCCAAGTGGCAGACAGCCTCTTCTCCCAGCCTAAGGGAAAGGATGCTCTTTATTTCAGACCCCTGTGTTATGAACACTTTTTGAAAGCAATTACCCAATAAATATTCCTTTAAAGGGTGATAAATCCACCTTGAAAACCAGGGGTTTTGATTTCATTGGGAGCCTTTTGCATTTTCAGAAGCTCTGGCCTGCTCAGCACTGCTGGAAGAGGCCAAAGACATCAACAAATGGAATTATTCAGTCTTCAAATGTTCAATAACGAGAGAGGAGGCGGTGGGCGTGGGGGTGGGGAGCCAAACTGAACATCCAGGAACAAAGGACTCTGGAGGCTCCTTCCAGGTTCCGGAGGCTGGAATTCATCAGCGCTCCATTTCCAAGAGGCACCCTGGAAAAAGAGCACCTTCTTTCTACTCCCTAAACCTTTCATTATTCTTTTCTTTTAAGAAGTGGCACTCTTCTGGGGTGACCTTGAAATAATCTGCCCAAACCTGAATAGTAACCAGAAAAGGAAACCAAGTTGTTTTCTTGCTTGACGTTTTCATTTTCCCCAGAAAAATGGAGTAGTGTTCATTGGATTCCAGTTCTCAAGAACTGGACAAGAACGACATTAGTAAAGATACAACAACAGTAATAACCAGCAGACTTCTCCCAGGCCTCCTGCTATGGGCCTCCTCCCTTCCTTCTTCCTCCTTCCTCTCCTCCTCCTCTTCCTCTATCCCTTCTCTTCCTCATCCTTCCCTTCCTCTTCTGTTTTCTTTTTCTTCTCTCCTTTCTATTCCTCCTCCTTTGTCTCCTCCTCCTCTTTTCCTCTTTTTTTTTTTTTTTTTTTGAGATGGTTGCCCAGGCTGGAGTGGCACAATCTTGGCTCACTGCAGCCTCTGCCTTCTGAGTTCAAGCAATTCTCCCACCTCAGCCTCCCAAGTAGCTGGGATTACAGGGGCGTACAAGCACCCCTGGCTAATTTTTGCATTTTTAGTAGAGATGGGTTTTCACCATGTTGGCCAGTCTGGTCTTGAACTCCTGACCTCAGGTGATCCACCCACTTCAGCCTCCCAAAATATTGGGATTACAGGCATGTGCCACGGCACCTGGCCCCTCCTCTCCTCTCCTTCTCTTCCTTGTGTTCTCCTTCCTCCCCCTCCTCATCCTCCTTTTCTTCCTCTCCCCCCTTCTCCTTCCTCCATCCTTCCTTCTCCTCCCTGCTTTCTTATATATCCTCAGTTTCTCCTTCCCCTCTTCTTCCCCTTCCTCCTTTTCTCCTCTCTGCTTTCCTCTCCTCCATTTCTTCCTCTTCTCCCTTCATCTCCTCTCAGGTAGGTCCTGGGAGCCTTT